AGCCCGCACAAAAAAAATTTAAAATATATTTTTCAGTTTTAATTTTATTATTTATCGGTTTAAAGGCTCAAAATTTTATAAGTTCCAAAATTATGAGTTCGGAGGTTTACGGGTTTAGAAATTATAAAGTTTACGGGTTTGAAATTCCGCGGTTTTAAAAATTTAGCGGTTCGAAAGTTTATGAAATTTGTGGGTCCGGAAGTTTGTTGGTTTGAAAGTTTATCACTTCATGTTTATTATATCTAAATTATTTTTGAATACTCTTGAGAAGTCATTTTCCTTAATTTAAGTACCAAACACTGAAAAATGAATAAGATTACTACTTGTTTTCCAAGAAAACATTTTCTTGAAAAACATTTTCTACGGAAAATTCCGTTATACCAAACACACCCAAAATAGCTACAAGTTTAGGTCGTCTTCTTGATTGAAATACGAAATCAATGTGAACGTGAAGTGCCGTAAAGTAAAAATTAGTTCTAGTTGGAAAAGTTCCCTCTTTTTTTCCCTTTGCTTTTGTTACGCTGACAGTGACCGTTCTGCCTCCTCCTCAAATTATCAACGCAATATTTTATTATTTTAATCTTATTTATATCTTAAATATTTATTATATTTATGTGTCATCCCTATTTTTAAGAACAAATACTAAATGTGAAATGAATTATTAATTTGTCTTGAACGTTTAAAATAATAAATAATTTATGACAATTATTTTTAGAAATTACGATAGATAATAAGGGTTAAATTTGTACGTAATTTTTATAGTCCGGTTGAAATTAAATGACAAAAGGGAATAAAAAGTAACTTTTAAGTGTATTGGTGGTCCACATGTTTTCCTGTACCAATTATTGGTGGTTCGCCAATTTTATTTCCAATTATGGAAGTAATTCTCGTTCACTTGTTTTAGATTTGGGAACAAGTAGAGACCCAAAAATATCAGAAGGTACAATAGTACATGGTGTGACTTTTGCATTCCTTATTGGTCCTGAGTATTTCATAAACACAATTTATCACTTAACCATTTCGTATCCATTATCACTTTAATTTTAACAATTATTGTTAAATTGTTTAGCTTATATTATTACTTCAATTTTAACAATTATGGTTCAATTGTTTAGCTTGGTAATGCAGATAAATATTAACATTATAACCACACAAATGCTCTTCTCTCCAAATGCCCTTGTACTCTTACCACAAATTTAGTAGTATATCCTTAATACTTATAGTCTTACTAAACATTCACACATCTAACCAGATTTTTATCATACTAATATTATTTTATCATACTAATATTATTTTATCATTATGCTCTTAAATCTTTTTGACCAATAGTTAATATGATGAAGATCTTGTAATAAACCTTGTTATTTTCCGTCTTTTCCATAACATGTGCTTCTTTTTGGACGATGAATGAAAGATAGTTTCAATACAGTCAAAATGTTAAGATGTCTTTTAATTATGTATACAGAGATATTTTTTAGTTTGATCGGACACTCATATTGCAATCACGAATTCAAATTCGTGCCAAATTAAGTTAGATCCAAGCAAAAGAATGTCCATCTTACCATTAAAGAAAACAGTTTGCCAAATTTACTTAATAGATTTCCTTTAATTATAGTTTGAAATTTCATCAATATACACTCTTTTTTTTCTCCCACGAATCTAACTGTAGCCTCACATATTAGAATCTCTATCTTTCTTTCTTTTTGGAAAACACCCATATATATCAAGTTCGAAATACATTTTCACACATAAAATTCGTGCCAAAAACTGTACATATAACATGTACATAACTAGTGTAGAAGAAAAGTAGAGAACAGATTTGTGAAAATGTAGCGACTTGTTCGAGGCCGTAATCAAAACGAAAATAAAATCTGAAAGGCACGGAGAATCGCTTTTTCTAAATATCGCCAACCTTCAATGCAAGCGTTCGTCATTTTTGGAAGACGCCCTTGCTCTGCTAATTGGCTTTCTTAACACACAAATTAAAAGGAAAAAAATCAAATTCGAAAACCATTAATATGAACATGGAAAGAGGAAATGAGGCAGCTAAAAGGGAATGGGTGAGGAGAAATCTGATTTCTCACAAAATTACGGAAAGGAATTTGAATTTATAGGCAGAAGAAACTGGGGATAAACCCTAAGCCTGACAAGACTGAAATGTGCAAAATGGACTATATAGTTTTGAGTTAGGACTTCTAGCCCAGTCCGAGTGGTAATAGGCCCAACTCCAATATGATCAAATTCATTCCGACCCATATAAAATCCAAAACTAATGTATTTGCTAGCCAAAAAGTATATAAGTATGTATATTTTTTTGTATATACAGTCACATTTCTCTATGACAGCATCCTCGTATAAAAGTCAAGTGGAGTTGATTAGATCCACAGCCCAGATGGGGCCCCTAAAAAATTGGATCTATTTGCACTTCTCGCTCCAAAATTTTGATGATTAAATTTACCTTTCTTGGATTTACGATAAAAGCCAAGTTTTTCTCGAAATTCATTTTCTATGTTATATTTTACTTTTCTATAATAACATTTTACCTATAAAAATAATATTCATCTTTATAGCAGTACGCTCTTTGTAAAATTACCCCTCTATAACATCCATGCACAATCTCTAATAATAAATTTAAAGTTTTTGACCTCAAGTCCTCAATCTACTGCTACTTGGACCGAGATAGAAGATTCAACTGTTAACCTCTTTGATTGCTTTCAAGGAAAGCTATTAGGTATCCTTTTACTGAAAGTTTGGACACAAATCTTGGCTAATTCAAGCGTTATATCGCTAGTAAGAGACTGAAAACTATGAAACAAGCTACAATTACAGAGTTTTTCCATCAACCTTGAGATAATTTAATCTTCTAGTAGCTTTAGAATGTAAGTTTTAGAGTTTAAATCTTTATACATTTAGTTACGAATTTATTAATAATGTTAGCATTTTTTAATATTTGATTAGTAAAAATTTACATATCTTTTGAGTATTTTAAATTTGAATAATTTTCTTATTTTTTATATGTAACATTTAAAAAATTAAGTTTTGGATAATTTTTGTTTATAACAGTTAAAATATATTTAAATTTTAAATACTATTATAGGTGTATAACAGTCATTCCCTATAAAAGAAAAAAATATCGGATCAAACAATGATGTTATAAAATAGTTTGACTGTAATACACATATATACAAAAAAGATATATTTTGTGTGTTAGTTATTTCTAGAAACGGCTAATAATATACATTTCACTCTCATATGTTACATAAAAAAAAAAAAAAAAAAAAAAAAGAAAAAAAAAGC